GAGCAGCGGGTGGGTCAGGAGAGGTCTGCCACGCCATATGGATCTCCTCCGGGGAAGGCAGGTATCGAACTCATGCAGTAGTGGCTTAAGCTTCTTAGTGCAGTGCTTTAACCCGCTGCGCCACCAGGGAGGGCCCACACTTTATAATTTAACCTGGAAAATGTGATGGTGTAATTGCTACAACTGTCTATTCTTCCACTAGTCAAATGGGGGAAATTCTTTGTACTTAAAACATGGATAAGTTTTAGTTCTAAGATAACACTCTTCCATGCTTCAATTAAATTAGGTAGACGCCTAGAATCTTTTTAAACACATATTATCTGTGATATACAAGGTGTTGTTCTAAATGAATATAAGACACGGTGTTTTGTTTTTTTTTAATGTTAGTTCCTAAGAAACAATTAACATTCCATGAAAACAATATAAATTAAGCTATAACACTATTTACCTCTCTAGGTCTGTTTGCTAATCTATAAAATGAAGGAGATGAGGCCCTCCCTGGTGGCATAGCGGGTTAAAGCACAGCGCAAAGAAACTTAAGCCACTTCCGCATGAGTTCGATCCCTGCGATCCCTGCCTGCCCCGGAGGAGATCCACATGGCATGGCAGACCTCTCCTGACCCGCCCGCTGCTCCCCTCAGCAGTGCACTTCGTCGATCTGCCTGTTCTGCTTCCCACTCTGTCTATGGTGAGTCCTCTCACTGCCTCTGTACTTCTGGCCTGAACTCCAGTTCTGTATGTATAAATAAATAAATCTTTTTAAAAAAAATGAAGGAGATGAGCTGCATGATCTCTAAGTTCTCCTTTACATCCAAAGAACTGTGATTCCCTGGTAAATAACAAATTTGACCTCCCTTTAGATAGTCAACTTTGTCATCAACAGCAAACACAAAAATAACATAGGGATATTAATTTAGTACCTCAAAATTGTGGGGTTAACTGACCCATATAAAAATGGATAAAAAAATGATAAAACTTGTGATTATGAGTGATAATAGATGTTAACTTATTGTGGCAATCACTTCATAATATATGCATATATCTCAAATTATTGGCATATATGTTAAATGTATACTTTATGTGAACTATATCTGAATTAAGCTAAAAAAACAATAAGGACAGCTCAACTCTAGAACATATTTTAAACTTTCATTACTAAAAACTATAATGGTAAACTTTTAAAACATATTTTAACAGCAGTTTGGAAATACAACCTGCCATTTGTTTTCAAAGTGGACAATGAAACAATTTGGAATTAATTTCCCAGAACAGTGATACTTGTTCAAAACAGAAAAAAAACATTACCAGGAGCTACTTGGTTTCACTTCATTCTCTTCCCCATTTCCATATACCAAAGCATTCTAACATAGCTAATATAAATTAGAAAAAAAGGAAAACAGTACTTTGTTTTAAAATATTAGCACAGAAATACTAGATTGTTCTTCACTTTATTCTGTTTTGATACACAGGAAAGACCACTTGAATAAACTTCAATTTTCTAACTATAACAGCAGTTGAATATGGGACTGAACACAAATTAAATGTGAGATTCAATGAAGACTCTGCTTTCTGTATCACTTAGAACTATATATTTTCAATTCTAGGAAAATACCTTTTAAAACAAAATTTCTAACCAAGGCATATGTCTTGGACATTATTTTTAATCTTCCATACAATTGGATGTACATCTTAGAAATCCCCTATGAAGGGAAGTGATGTTTTACTAATTCACAATTGGGAAGATTCAAAAAATTATTTAGGCCAAGGATGTAGAAAGACTTTCCACTCCTAAATGCATTATCCACCCATTTCACATTGAGGGGGAAAAAATGTCCTCCTGTACAAAGGGAAATGAACAATAAAAAGATGTAATATATGCCCTCACAAACACCCCAACAGTGATTCAGTTCAGCAAATGCTTTAGAAGCACAGATGACAGACAGTGCTCAATCTGCAATACCCTATTGCTTTACTAAATATCCTAGTATATTTTAAAATAATTAAAATAATAAAAATAACCCATCTTGTTATTTTTATCTATTAGAAGCTGTTACAGAAAACACTGTGGGTCACAGATACCAAGTTAAAGGTATTAGTTTAGTTTTCAGAATGTATTGTTTGGGATGAGAAAGCTCATACTTCCTGTTACATTACAAAAACTAGGAGATAATAAAAAGATGTATTTAACTAAAGAGTTTGATTCAGTTGAGGAGCTGTCACTATAATATTAATGAGCAATGACAAAAAAATGACCAACAGAGAACATATAATTTTAGTTTGGGGCACAGTGAGTTTTAAGGTATTCAGAGAATTGACCAATAGATAACTGGAAACACAACACAGGAACTGAAATTTAGATGGCATCAACAATTAAAGTTCTGTGGGTAGTGAAAATATGAATATATAAAAAAGGTCCAAAACAGAATCTAAACACTAATATTTAAGAAAAATGCCAGAAAATACCTACCAAACAGGCACATCAACTCAGTTTCTCCACAAGAATTCTGAGTAGCAATTTAGTTTTTTCTTTAAATCATACAATCTACTTTTCTTTTCTCATTTCAAATATTCTGTCGTTATGATAGAAATATATTCAATGCTGCATTCCAATTCCCAGCCCATCTCTTGGCCACTTATTGCTTTGACCTCAGTTTCCTTTCTGCAAAATCGGACAATATCAACTTTTTCAAAGGTTACTATAAATACTGAGTTCATGAGTGTAAACTTCTTTAAGTAAACCATACTAAGTAAGCATTGAGTGTCAACTTGTATTTCATTCCCTAATCCCATAAAAATATCACGCTAGTTGTGTAGCAGAAAGTTGATCACTACACTTAAATATCAGGACAACTAAATCCAACTCTCCCAAAAATCAATTTCAAATAAACCATCCACACATCTATTTTCTAAGATTATATGCAGATTTCTTTTTATCTCTGAATATTTTATTTCAACAAATTAGAAGGAATAAGTGCTTATGCTATAATAAAGGACCAAAGAGACTACATTATTGCCAGTCATTGACAGACTTACTCTTGGAAAACTCTCCACAAGCCACCAAAATGGTAAACATTTTGCCAGTTTTGTCTACATATGATTTGCCTTTTAAAGCATACAAAGTAGTGCACTAAGGAGTCTAAAATCAGATGCTGGCTAGTACATTTGAAATGACTATTTTTAAATGTTCCAGAAACACAAGTTCAGTTTGTACTATCTTAACTGCCACCAAATCTTGCCATCTCTTATTTTCCTCTGAATTATAAGCAGTCTTCTAAAATTCTTACTTGCCAAAGTTATCCTATAACTTCTTATCACTTTTTATCTGTTTCAACACCATCAACTTCCTATTATTACCTGTTCATCTTTGAAACTAACCATGATGTAAATTTCTCAGCAATCTCTTTTGCATCCTCATCCCTAAACGTCTAAATAATCTCTCAATACCTGGAAATCTAAAGACTGCTAAATTAAATTCCACTTTTTCTTTGATTTCAAGAACCTGAAGCCTGGTAACATAATGAAACAACAAATTTTACTTTATTGAACAAATATTTCAAACAACATCTTAATTACCATTTTTTCATTAGGACCAAAGAAGACATGAACATGACAATTTATCTTAGTCACTTTCCTCACTCATAAAAGTGGTGATTACACAACTATTTCAAAAATACTCTTGTAACTCTGAAAAGTCTACAATTCCTAGTCTTTAGTCAATCAAGTATCAGTATTACCCATGGTTAAGATTTCAAACTCAGTAATATCAACTTTCTAAGTTAAGGTTGAAATACACAAAACAAGAAAGCCCCAATTAAGTGTGAAATCCCTACTTTAAAAAAAAACTACTTCTGGAAAAAACAAAATTTTCCCTGGAAGGGATTAAAGCAAGTACCTGGCAAACAAATTTAAGCAATAAGTTCTTAATACATATGGCATGGCAGAAAGAATATAACAATGGCAGTCAATTGCCACTAGCGGCAGCCCTGCCAAAAGCTATTTCAAACAAGTCGTAACCTCTGGTCTTCCTCACCTTAGATATGCAGGGATAGGACTACGTGTAAGATACAGAGGATTCCTGCAAAATCAAAATGACTTCAAGGGTTTCTCTTGATTTTTAAATCCCACAACTGATATAAAATTTCACTGAGGTGTAGCCTGTAATGTCACCAAACACAAGGAACAACACTAGCTTAAGCCCTTGCTAAATAACTTAACACATTTAAAATGGGTTAGACATTTTGGTGTGAAAGAACCAAAGGATTTGGGATCCCATACTGTTTTCAAGTTGTCTGGATGTTTTTAGTGAACCCATTAATTTGTTTCTGATTCTCTATGGCCAGTCCCTCATCACGTAAAATAACTACAAAGACTGAGTGATTAACTTAAATTTTAACTCACAATTTTACCAACTGAATAAATACATTTGAAAAAAGTCCAGAAAATACTTGAATCCTTTTCATAGCTTAAAACAAGGGCCTTCGCTATCACATTAGTGTAACATTTACTATACATTTATGATTATGGTATTATGAATTCAACTAATGTAGGTATAGATTTCATCTTTTATTCTCAGCAAACTTCAATCCAAGTTGGCTTCCTTCTGCTGCTCAGAACATTTCTCAGCTACCACCTACCATTAGTAAAAAACAATTTTAATATTAGCCTAATTAAAACAGTCAGGAAAATAAGTCTACAAAAACACTACATAATGTATCCCAAGTAAAATGTTGAGAATAGTCAAAATTTTGGTAGTGAATGTTTTATTTTTTGGATGAACTGTATCTAAACTTTCTATCAAAAAAAATAGTTAGGAATAATCAATTTTATAGTCCTTCAGAAAACTTACTATGAGAATTTTATAATGTAACTATCTTAAGTTATGTGAATTTTAAAGCCATATATTTAAACCATAAAGTTATTTATTCATTTGTACAACTAATTTCAAAGGTATTTAAATTATAAACTGTATTGTTACAGTAAATGTTTGAAAACCACTGTTAAGAGGAAGAATAAAAAAAATACAGCAAGCCCTATTGGTTTTAAATCTTTTTTGAAGTATTCTTCACAAACCTGTAAAGTTTTGACATCAGGCAGACGATTTTTATCACTTTCTATTTTAGAGGAAAATAGTCAACACATCCACTACACTATTCTTCAGGATAAAAAGTTTCTCCAAGTAGTGGGTTGTCAGAAAAGTAATGATGCATTTTTGCAAAACCCAATACAATAGATCAACTGACTGATAGTTACTCTTTTAGATAATTTTTGAGATTTTTATTTCACAGACACAATCCATCACTTCTGCCTGTCTTTTAAAAATTTAGTTTGCTAGATTAAGAAGCTAAAGATGCTAAAGAAAATTTTTTACAAGTTTGTTACTATTTCTTTTTTTATTCTAAGGAACAGTAAACTACATTTGTGGTCTGTCAGCTTTCTAATTTCATTTTTTGTGGCTCCAAATTAACTTGGTATTTCAGGATAAAACCTGCTACTTACCACAAATTTCTTTTACTAGATGAACTAACAAAAACTGCCTCTTTTACTAGGACAAAACCCCAATAAATTCACTAAATGTTGCTAGGATTTGTGCCCAAATGCTAATGGTTAAACCACAAAATTTTCAATACATTTTATAGATGCAGTAAGTTTACTGATTATTCTGCAAATACATATTTAGTCACATTCCAGAAGTTGGATTTTGGGGGTATTTTTAAAGTGCTGAGAGGTTATGGTTTACTTTTTTAATCCAACAACTATATCCAAAAATGCAGAAAACTTTTCTGGCTGGCCAGGAGGAAAACATTTCAGTGTTGACAAGTCCATTGACTGTAACATTCCAGGAAGCGTGCTAAAACAAAAAAAGAAAAATATTAGGTAACATGGGAGAAAATTCCAAAATTAATCTGCTGTCCACTTGATGACTAACTTCCAAGAACATTGTGATGCTTCTCAAGCTATTCATATAAACTTAATGTAATTTAATGTTTAATATCTCTACTAAGATTAAAGCAATACAGGTATCCCCTGTGTTTTTAAAGTTCATGATATGCCATATTGTTTTTGCAAAAACCTAGTACTAATGCCTGTTTTAGCTAACTATAAGAAGGCCAAAGAGGATTTTCATTTTCTGGAAAAAAAGTTTCAACAAGCAATTATAAGGTAGCACACATTCCAAGTAACTGACATCAACAAACTCTATCCCTAAAAACCACTTTATACAGGCTATGTTTTTATATTATCCCTATTTTTACGATGTTACTTGAGGTTTTATGTGTTATCTTTGTGTGATTTGATAGGTGATTTTTAATTAATGATAACTGCTTCTTTGTGTGTACATTACACCACTTCAGCTTATAAAAGATTTCATAGGAATACTGTCAGATTGTGAAGGACACCTGTACATTTTATTTCTTACGTCACTGAAATATTTCAGAAATATTATTTCATGAAAGATGGGTTCACATGGCTTCTCACAACTGGGTAAATAGAAAGTGAAGCAAAATTAATTCATAAAAACACAATAAATAAACCAAAATTAAAAGCCAAAACAGGAACAACATAAGCTGGTGAGGCTACTAAACCATGCATGAGCATTGTGAAATAACTTTTTTTTGGCCACTAATTTTGCTATCATAAATCCATATATAATTAAGCAATGTACAATCTTCTCCATGCATACTGGAAATAAGGTTCCAAACTACAATAAAATGATTACTTCAGAAATGTAATTAAACCAGCCACTTAAATTAGAACCACCCAGCTCAGATTTGGGGCAAATAAACAATAAACCTAAGAAGAAATTACAACCAACCAGTTATTAAGGTTTATGCTATTTGTGGTTATGACTTCCTTGACAATTAGTGAAAAAAAGATTTCTTAAACTGCAAAATTGTTAAAAATGAGTACATTAGGAAATTATACAGCTTCCTTTTCAGCCTGAGTTAACAAGAGTTATGATAAATTTACAAAATCAATGTTTTCTCTACTTTTTAAGATCTACTTATTTATGTATACAAGAACTGGGGTGTAGACCAGAGGTGCAGGAGTAGGGAGCAGAACCGCCAGATCTATTGAAATACACTGCTGAAGGGACCAGGGGTTGGGGGCAGGGGGAGACAGGAGAGGTCTGCTGCACCATGTGGGTTAGTTCCCAGGTCAGGGATTGCAGAACTCATGCCACAGTGGCTTGCAATAGCTTGATAGTGATGAGACTTTAACCCTTGTATCACCAGGGAAGCTCCTAATTTAACATATATAATGAAAATATTCATCAAAAGTTTCAGAAAAACTTGATTTGCATAAACCAGTTAGGAAAATTCTTCTTTAAAAAATATTAACCCTGGCCCTCCCTGGTGGCTCAGCGGGTTAAAGCACAGCACTGAGACTCTAAAGCCGCTTCCGCATGAGTTCGATTCCCGCCTGTCCCGGAGGCGACCACATGGCGCGGCAGACCTCTCCTGACCCGCCCGCTGCTCTCCTCAGCAGTGTGCTTAGTCCATCTGCCTGTTCTGCTTCCTGCTCTGTCTCTGGTGAACCCTCTCACCCTCCGCATCTCTGGCTTGTACCCCAGTTCTGTACGAATAAAATAAATAAATAAATCTTTAAAAAAAAGAAAAAAAAATATTAACCCTTTACAATCTCAACTACCCAAGGCCATATATGCTCTTGATCTGAAGGAAGATGACATAATTCTGACTAGCTAGCTTCCACACAACTTCAATAATTAAGAATGACTCCTGGCCTTCCCTGGTGGTGCAGCGGGTTAAAGCACAGCACTGAATGCATGAGTTCGATTCCCGCCTGCCCCGAGGCAACCACATGGTGAGGCAGACCTCTCCAGACCCGCTGTTCCCCTCAGCAGTGTACTTAGCCAATCTGCCTGTTCTGTTCCCCACTCTATCTCTGGTGAAGCCCCTCACTGACCCTGAACCTCTGGCCTGTACCCCAGTTCTGTATACACAAATAAATAAATCTTTAAAAAAAAATGACTCCCATATTACAGTAACCCTGACATTCCACTCCTACATCATTATTAGAAAAGAAAACTATGCTTCCTAAAATTTTCAATGGATCTGTCTCCTCTCAATGAAAATAAAATATATGCCAACTGTCTGGAATAACGCCTGGCATATACAGAGGAGTTTAACAAATATTTAATGAACAAACAAATATATACTGTGTCTAAGAGACAAAAGCAGAGAAAAGCTTACTATGTTCTATCCCATTTCATCTACAGTTTATTTTAAAAATTAATTTCCACTTCTTTTAACATAAAAGTTAATATGTTAATATGTAGTATGTAATACTTCCATGAAGGCTTTACTTTATAAAACACCAAAGGAGAGTAGCTTTTAAAGTCAAACAATTGAGAAATGCTGACCTTGACCCTTTGGCAAGCCTCTAGTGTCTCAAGAATTAACAGAAAATCAACCAGCAATTTTCTTCATCCTTCTATTGTGATGCTGATCAGTTCTTGATTATTAATACACTTCTAGAAAATAGCACTTCTTACAACATAAACACCTCTGCTTAAAACACTTCAATGGTTTTCCACTAAACAGAAAATCAGAACTCAGAAAATCAGATGAGCTATCTCTCCCCCACACCCCAGTCTCAACTTATACTATCCCTTGCTCAATTTTTTCCTACTACACTAATCTTCCCTCTGTTCCTCAAACACAACCAAATTCCAAGCTCTTTCCTAACTCATGACCTTTGCAATTGCTACTTGTACCTTGGCCTCTAAAAGGTCACAAGACCACTTGACTTCCTTCTCATTCAGGTTTAAATATCCTATTTAAATATCCTATTATCCAGCCATGACTTTTCTATCTTTCTAACTAATCTGCATACTAGCTATCACTTCACACTGCCTTATTTACTTCATAACACATTTCACCATGTTAAATTACCTTCATCATTTATTTGTGAATTGCTTACTGTAACTTTTACCACTAGAACATAAGCACCAAGAAAGCAGGGACCTTAGTTTAACCACTGTATCCAAAGCACCCAAAAGATGCCTTCTACCTTTAGGTGAAGCTGAATTAGGATGAGTAAACAGGGATTCCAATGGACTTATTGACACACAATTGTAATCAAAAACAGGGAAAAATGCCTTCCTTGAATAATGAAAATCTAAATATCAAGCTCAAAATTATAGCCTCATACTTGTGCACCCAGATGAATACATGTTCATGCATACATATTTAAACATTCACATGCAATGGAATTAGCATAGATACAAAAAAGAAATAATATACATGGTCACAATCAAAGTGAAAAACAAATGAGGTGGTTTTACAAATAAAAAAATCAAAGTATGACTGAGAGAAGAGGCTGAAAGGAGATGCCATAGGTAAAATTAGCTAGGAAGGAATTAAGATGAGGCCAAACAATCAGTCTCCAGTATACCTGCAAGTACAGTAGAAGAGATGCCCGTCTTTGTATAGCTGCTTTGCCAATTCAAGCTGATGATTATTCATCAATTTTTCATTTATAACCACTATAAGTGGCTTTCTTTTTTCCAGAGTCTCCAAACAGCTACCTGCACCTACAATAAATCAAATTGTTAATAGCATTTTTTTTAAGTTAAGATGTTCACCAAAGCATTATAAATAAAACACAAATGCAAAAAAACTAAGTTAGCAGAACTACAAAGCAGGCCTTTTTAACTATACATTCAAAGTGGCAAGTTTATCAGTTGCTCTGTAGTGTTATACTGGCTTGAAAAACATATTTTAACACTTCCACCATCATGGCCTATGATTTAGTGCTACCTGGGTTATGGGCCTTGAACCCAGATAAGATTCAGGGTCATCATTCTATATATGGAAATGTCCTGCACTTTTATCCAAACACAAAATAAACCTTTAGCAGTGACAGGCACCAATGAAGAAAAACTGAGACCACCCCTCATGAATCCACCTGCTTGCTGCCTGAAAACAGTCAAGGATTACATCTACAGGAGTGTGCAAACTTGTAAGTCAATTCAACTTTGAAAGCTAAAAGTACTTAGAGATTTTAAATGGAAGGGGACTAGTAAGTGAATAGGCAAATCCTCCTTGGGTAGACAAGGCTAGTAGTTAAGAACTCAACTCCTAAGGTCACATTGTTACTAGTCTACCATTTACTGACAGACTGCCTATGTTACCTCACCTCAATGTCTGTTTCCTCATATGTAAAATGGAACTACCAACAGTAATTAATTCACAGAATTGTTTGGGAGGATTCAACCAGTAAGAATGTAGAACAGTGCCAAAAGGTCTGTTAACTATTACCCTATATATTTTTAATCACTAATCTTTGCTAATGTCTATTTCTAATGACTTTTCTCTCTTCACGGTAGGCATTTTAAGGACCAAGAACCTCCCAACGCTCTCCAAAATAGTTCTGCTGAAAGGTTAATTAACTGCATCAAGATGTTTCTCCCAACGGCAAGCACGAGATTGACGTGTGACTGCTAAAAAATGTTTGACTGCGTGAATTTAACGTTCATATTTAATAGAATTGTAAAAAAAAAAAACTCTCAAGGCCAACTGCTTTATGCCCAATCCAACCAATCATGAACATTCTCGCAAATCTGAGCCCAAATACTAGCTTCAGGTTCGAAAACTCTACACACATGCCATTGCAGCCGTTAGTTTGCCCCGCTGTCTGTGGGATTTCTCACTCTAAAGTCGGGCTCAGGTGGTCCACTTCCCATCTTTCACCCAGACATAAAAGTCTCCTCAGCAGTATTCTCAGTCCTTCCGTTCAAAAATGTATTAAATTCAACAGGGCTACAGTGGTCGACTCCCGTGATTTTATTTTACCAAAAAAAGACTCAGGCTTCTGCTATTCTGTAAGAGTTCTAAGGCACTTTACCTGCGTGACTAATAACGAGATCTGCTTTCTCAAGGTCTTCTTTCAGTGAATCCTTGTACCTGTAAACGTCCAGAGTAAAAGACTCCGTCCTGAACGGCTCAGGTACCACGCTTCCTCGACCTACTTGTAGGACAAGTCGGTTATAACCGAGGCTCTGGATTATCTGAATACAAGAAAAAGAAAACACGGGCCATTTTAAAGGAGATGCCGTAAAATCCACAATAACCATAAACCCTAAAGTCGGCGTTCAGCCTCCAGCATGGGCTGCTGGAAGTACCTCAGTCGTCCCCACAGAGCTCCGCGACCCAGCTCACCCAGTCAGTCACCAAAATGCTGCTCCCGCCCGAGAGAGACCTAGCAGAGATGCTGAGACAGGCACCAATAACTGCGGGAAAACCGAAAACTGCTCCGTTCTCTCTCAAGACCCGCTTCGCGCGGGCCAAGAGCCGAAGGACACGCCGAGAAGACGCCGTGCCCCGCCACGCAGCCTCAACCGCCTTTCCCGAGCGCGCCGTAGAGTAGGAAAGGTAGGCTCCACCCACTCCCGGGGGGCGGGGCAGGACAGGCTGGGGGCGGGATCGAGGCTGAGGGCGGGGCCAGGCGACTAGCGGGCGGACGCCGAGTTAGCCCGACTGCAATAGAACCAGGTCGCACAGAAGCGCTTAGGGGCCGAACTTCACTTGAAAAGTGTCCCGCCCCGCCAACACTCCCCAAGAGGTGGCAGGCGGAATGGGGCGGAGGGGAGAAGCCACTGAAAGAAGGAGCTAAGCCTGAGGTTGCGGAGGCGGAGAATGGGGATGGGAAAGCCGGGGAGTTAAGGAGGGACCCGAGAAAAGAGGGGAGGAGCAGCCCAGGGAGGCGACTGGGAAGCAGGAAGAGAGGCGGCGGACCCTGAGGAGCTGGACGCCAGCCGAGGTCCCAGCCAGGCGCCAACACTTGACAGAGCCGCGGGGGTTCCTTTCCGAGTACCCCGCTAGGGACAGGTTACCCGACCGAACCAGAAGCTGGTGGCGGCCAGTGGCGCGTGAAGCGAGCCGCGTCCAGCCGTCTCCCGCTGCCTTCCCGCCTCCCCCCACTCACTTGCAGGCTGTCATGCGCTGTTATGCGCGCTATGAGGTCGTCGAAGCTGGTGGTCCCTACTGTAACAAACAAGCACTTCATCGCGCGGGTTTCGCGGGCCCAAAGTCGCCGGGGCCGGATGTGACGTAAGGCGGCCACGCGAGCAGCTTAGGTCCCTCTGGGTGGGGGCCGCGGAAGTCTCCCTGGCCACCAGGGGGCAGCCAGGCCTCGATCTGTGTGGCGACTGGGGCGAGGCCAGGCGGAACGCAAATGACAAAATCCCAAACCTGCCAGCTGCTGTAGCAAAGCACTTTGCAACTACGTGCTCCGGACCCTCAGAATAAGGGTTTAGGGAATGGCTACATTTCATTTTTTCCAAAGTGGTGGTTAAAAAATGACTATGAAGTATCTATTTATAAATAGAGTGGCAATAAAATGGCATTTTGAAATACTAAAAATAATAACTATGAAACCGAGTATCCCACTTTGTAAGCGTTGTGTTTCCACTATTGATTTGGTGCCACAATTTTTGTAACAATGGACACGTTTGGGGTTCTTTGTTTGCCACTATGTTTTAACCATATACATTCTCCCTCCCAATGGCTATACTTACAGTCTGGTGAATACACATTTTGTAAAAAAAAAAAAAGTCCTTTTAAGAAAATCACACATTAAGCATGGGCTTATCTTGTAACTGAGGTTCTTAAACCAGAACCCTAAAGGGTCTCTTGGGAATTGCAAATTAACTCCATTTGCAAGAGATCTGTGTAAAATAGAGGCATTAAGGCCTGGAGCCTTATTCTGTATTTCATTGAACCCACCCCTCAAGGGCTTAGAGTGCATAATGTAAAGTTATACATTAGCATGATAAAATGCCACTGAGACCTTTCACTTAGGCAGTCAAGTACTGGAGAAGTGATTTCTCAAGACTTCCCACCTTCTGCCACATTAAGGTCATTGTCCAAACTATCTCATCTATTGTTCCTGGCATTTCCTACTGAAAGTCTCCTCTTAACCTCATTTTTATGCTTTTCTCTGTCTGGTATACACAAAAAGGAAACTGTGAAAAGAAATTCTTTCAAAAAGAAAGAGGATCAGAGGCAACTGAGAACTAACATCTGAAAAGACCTCTTAGGCCTATTTGTTCCCGATTGTTTTTAATATTGTAGTTTGGGCAACTTTTTCTTTAAGGAGTGATGTGACATGAATGATACCTTTCTTAATAACCACATTTCACAAATTAATGATATAGTAAAAGTATATTTCATAGTGTTGTAGGACACCAGATCTGTTCCAGGTCAGCAAATCTGTTACAGGACAGGGGGAGATGGGCACCCCTGAACCCCTAAACCTGCCTGCTCTAAGTGGGTTCTGCCATCCGCCACGTGAAGACAAAACATACATAACTTTAATGAAACGGGACTTTAATACAGTAAATATACAATACGGAACACAAAGAATATAACTTCCAAATCAAACACCTGAAGTGACCCATCCCCTCGTGGGCAAAAGCCCACCCAAAAGGGATTGGCCCAAAGCAAGGCCTGAAAGCCACAATACTAAAGCACCTTCTGGCTGGGACCCATGGAAAAGGGTCAGAAATGGCCAGACAAATCTGGGAGGAAAAGAGCAAAATCAAAATCAATATAAACACTGCCATAGTCACCTCCCTACAGGTCTCTCACCCACATCTGACTTA